TAATACTGGTGAAAGGATGTTGTCAAAATATGTCTAGTTCTACAGATCAAAATGGAGGTGGATGCGCGTAATGGTAGGACATCAGTTGATACAGTAGACACAGCTACCTGGTTAGCATGTGCCACGGAGGTGAGCCAATCGAGTCGGATGAAGACGCGATCAGATGGATACGAGTTAGGCAAAAATGGGTCACAATACTTATAAAAGTATGTACCAAAGTAGGCTGTGTTCCACAGATCCAGCTTCGAAGCTGGATCCGTGTACTGATATGAGTTTGTTTGAGAAAGTGGGCACTGCTACTGTAGTGGAAAAGATACTACATATACGAATAATAAAGGAATAAACGGTACATGGAACAGGCTCACAGAAGGATGGTCCCGTTGGTTGCGTGATCTTGTTCTTCAGATGTGTGGTTCCGGTTGATGAGGTGCAGTGGAGCTGAAAGGGACGGCAGCGACAGTCAACGGACCGCTCGACATTAACTGATAATGCTCGCGTAGTACTTCAGCAACACTCGGAGAACACTTGTGGAGATTCGAACAGAATTTTTGTATTGTGTAGTTAGTTGTTGTATGTATTAAAACAAGCTGTCCAATCATGTCATATAAAAGTAGATAGCAATGTAAGACACTACACTACCTGCTTAGCATGTGCATGTGGAGACTTCGTTGGTATATCCGGCCCAACGATTGTCCTTCTATCGGACGCAATCCTGACTTCATCTGCTGCAGCCAGCAGTAGTTCTCTCGTGATTGAGCTTGCAAACTCAACCAGCATCGGTCTAGGCCTAGCGTTGTCAACATTCCCCTTCCATTTTTCGAACCCAAATATCCTTCTTATGTGTGTTTCTCCAGGTATGTCGGCGATCCGTAGCAGTGCCAGAAGATGTCCTCCGATATACTGGGCTCTGCTGTTCATACTTTGACAAAGTGGTCTCGGCACTCCTTTTATCACTATATTCCTATTCCTTCCCAATGCTACCTCAGTGTTTCTCTACGGTTTCTCTAGTGGGATGGATGAAGAAACAGCCATATCCCAAAAGAGCCATAGTTCCTTTGCATGCTGCGCTATGCCAGCTTGCAACTCACTTAGCGCACTGTACAAGTTTAGATCTGAAGCCACCTTGGTTTTACGAGCCACTCCTTGTCTCATTTTGATCCACTCCCCTGCCGTTCTGTTCTCGTTTAGTGGAGAAGGAACGAGGCATTGTGGCGAATTATTTGTGGCTTCCTTTGCAACCGACTGGCTATTTAGATCGCCTTTGACGACAGGTGTCCACTGGTTCCCTTACGGTGAAATGGATTTCGGAGTGGGAGATACCTTCCTCTCCTTTAACCTTTGTGTGCGGTACAAAAAACAGTTAAGGCAGACCCAATTCCTAAGTTGGTTATCCTTATATATTTATATGATTCTCTTCGTCAATTCTCTGCACCTTTGGCGCTACCACGACTTGGACGCATCGCATTGTAAACCTTCATCAACTGCTTACCAACAAGCTATCAGAACGCAAAGGTGACTAATTTTGGGTGGCCTATGTGTGATCGTTTGCAGGTTTCCGCTTTCTATTTCCACTGCAATGTAGCTCCTTTATTATTACTTTAAATTGATTATAACCCAAATTTTGATTATTTCAGCTATGTTGATAGTACTAATATGGTTTCTATATAAAATCCAAATATGCATCAAAGCAACTGAGGCGGTTAAAAATAGTTAGTAAGTAATTATTTCAAATATCCCATTAGAAAGGTTTGAGAAATCGAGATTTTGTACCCCTGGTAATAAACGAATGAGTAGTATACAAGGAAACCGAAAGAATAGACGAATAATACTAAGCAATACAATAAACGTTTCAACAAATGTTACAAGAAACCAACGAAAATAGCCGTCCCACCTAGGAAGGACTATAAAATAATCGAAAACGACAAATCACGTCCAGTATTCAAACCGCCCGGTGGTACTCGTGAGTCCAGCCAGGAAGTTACGGACTATCTTTCGCAGCGGTGGGTGCCATACTTGACCGCATACCACCAAAGGAATTCTGGACGTTCGATTGGCCATGGTCATTTTGTATCCTGTGCAAACCGAACTGAACTGAACTGAATGGAGCAGACGCCAACGTTCTAAATGAAACATGGCTAGGCTCGAGAGATGACATCAGTTTCCAAATACCGAGGAACTATTCGATAAGCAGTAGAATAGACCGGTCGGGCGATAGGGTAGGAAGCGGGGTTGTACTCTTGGTAGCTGACCATCATGAGCAGAGGGAGAGTCTTAAGATTGCTACGTCAAAAGTAACGATCAAAGTTGGCAATGGAGAAACCACCCTGGTTGAGTGATACTGCAGCCCGAGTGCAGGAACATGGGAAGACGACCAGCTACTTGCCTTCTTAGATGAAGTCATAGGAGAGGGTCGTAAACTCCTGGTTGTAGGAGATTTCAATGCGCCGGAGGTTGACTGGGCCATTCAAATGGCCCCCAGAAACTCATTCGGAATAAACTGGCTGCGATGCTACACAGGAAGGCGCTGACTTAGCACGTAGATAGGGCAACCCGCTGGTTTGATGGGCCATCAACATTCGATCTCGTGGTAACTAGGGTTCCAACGACGTTCTCCGAGCCCATCGGGAAAAGTGATCATGGTGTACTGCGAGTATTAATGAGTTCAATGGTACAAAGTGCGCCAGACACATACCGCAGGTTCTTCTGGTCCATCAACCAGGCCGCACTGATCGAATCTGGTCGTCGGTGAAACTGGATTGTAAAAGAGGGAGAGCAATATGTTGAGCGACATTGGTGTTGAATTGAGGACAACATATTGGCACTCACAGACCAAGCTGCACCACTTAAGGTCAGACGCAGGGGTGCTCCACCATATTGGGGTAGCAGGGTGAGAAAAGCTAGCCAGAGGAAACAGGCAGGTTGGCCGCGATATTGGCGCACCAAAACGCATCGCGACTTCCTGCGTTATAAAGTGGCTAGGAAAACAGCGTCCAAGGTACAAAACGAATGTCGGCGCATGTATGAGGAGAGGTTAGCCCTACATGCGAAAACCAACCCCAAAGCATACTTCAATTACAGTTAGTGAAAGACTGCCCTGAGGGAGGCTGTGGATGTGTGAGAGATGACGATGGAGTAGCAGCAGTAACCAGCCATGAGAAGGTCAACATCCTGTGTCACTTCTATCAGGTCATCTATAGAAGGGATTTAGGTGCCCCAGGTAGATCCGTTGGAGATCGCACGCAATTGGCCATGCCAGAGGTGTACATATAACCAGGGAACGTAGAACAGCACCAGCAGAGACTGGTGGCATCTAAGGCCCCGGGTCCAGAACAGCCGCATCCGGTAGTGTTAAAACCACTGACGAGCGTGCTTGCGGAGCCGCTTGCACGGCTATTCAACGCACCACTGGAGGAAGGACGACCCCCCTAGTGATTTGGTTGGTGTCAACTGTCACTCCAACCTACAAAGGGGGAAACAGAGAGGACTGCGCAAATTACCGACCCGTCAATTTGGCCTCGGTGGTATTAAACACCATGGAGCGAATCATACGGGATAAAATAGCCACACACTTAGAATCAACCAAGATGTTGATCGCACAACAGCAGGGTTTCATGAGGAGACGATTGTGCCTCACCAACCTACTGTGTTTCCTTGACGAGGTAACGTATAGGATTGACCGGGGAGACAAGGTGGAAGTCTGCTACCCAGAATTTTAAAAGGCCTTTGACTCGGTCAACCACGGGTTGATGATGATGAAGCTTCGGCGCCTTGGGCTGACTCCCAAGGTGGAACGGTGGATATGTAATTGTCCAAAGGATCGGAACTTTCAGGTTAATATAGAGGGGGGAAGTATCCCACAAGGGAGAACTCCGTAGTGGGGTCCCACAGGGGTCGGTTCTGGGTCCGCTACTGTTCCTACTGTACATCAGCAATTTAGTGGAGGGCTTGGAGAACCCATGTATCCTCTACGCTGATGATGTAAAGCTGATAGGCAACCCCAACTTCGAGACTATACACAGTGATCTCAGCAAGATCTACGAATGATCTGTGCTATGGGTTTTGCCGCTGAATATCGGTAAATGCCAGAGATTCATTGCTCAGCAGGACGAAGAGCAGGGTAGCCGTCTCGGCCCACCAGGCACTGGGGGTGAACTGCATGTAGTGAGGGAGGCCAAGGATATTGGTATTCAGTTCCAGGCTGATTTCAAACCAAGTGCACAGTGCCGACAAGAGGCACGAAAGGCACTAGGAGCTCTCTACCAACTGAAGACAACAGTGAGCTCCAGAAGGCCGGAGGTTGTACTACGACTGTACAAGGCCTTTGTGCGCCCTCATCTGGAGTACTGTGTCCAGGCCTGGAGCCCATTTCTAGTTGGGGATATAAAAGTACTCGAGAACACGCAGCGGTACTTTATCAGATGGTTCCCAGGAATAAGGAACCTTAGATATGAGGACAGGCTGAAGAAGCTTGAGCTTTTCTCGCTGACGAGAAGAAGAAGAATGAGAGATCTGATTGAGGTATTTAAACTCCTAAAGAGTTTGGACGACGTTGTGGGAGAAGGGAGGCCACTAATACCTCCCAGCAAGAACCCAACGTTAAGGGAAAATAACCTTAAGTTATCTAAGGTCAGGCTATCCACCGGCCTAAGGCAGCAATCGTTTGGTAAGGGTTGTAAACGACTGGAACAGACTACCCAATGAAGTATTCAATTCCAGTTCGGTGAGTATTTTTAAGACCCACCTGGATTCTGAATGGCAAGGTCTTTTCACCTTAGAAACCGCATGAGCAACGTGATTGTCCGGCAGCTCCCCCCCTTCTCCGCACAATGCTCCTCCTCTCCCTCCCCGACCTTCTCTCACTTATTCTTTCCCTCTTTATTCATAAATTATCTTTTATTCATTCTGCCTCGTACCATATGCTCATCCCGTCACCATTACTCGATCACTAACTTTACCACTAGAACTCCCCAACCTATTCGGCCAGGGTTGTAACTTGGTCAATGCTGGTGTCAGGGTCTGATGCCCTGATCCATAAGGCCTCACCGGAATGTGGCATTGCAAATTTGCGTCGCGTGATGGAGCTCCCAACGATTGAGCAACTGAACCTGCAAGCAAGTCCATCCGAGATCGAGGAATGGGTCGAACGGTTCGAGCTGTGGTGCAGCATTCGCAAACGTGGTACACAGAATCAGTCAGCCCTATTTAATACTGCTGGTAGGCGTGACCTCTATCCCCTGTTGAGAAACCTGGCGTTTCCTGAGACTCCAGCCAAACTACCATACGAGTCCCTGAAATCGTTGCTNGCCGTGAATTCATCCTGCAGCTGAACAAACAAGCATCACGCTGAAACTATTTTGATCGCCTGGAAGAACAAATGTGACCGCTTGGTAGCAGGCATCAGTAATCTGATTGCTCAACGAAAGTTGATGGAGAAGAAAGATTTAACTTTTGC